CTTAGAAGAAACTGCAGCCAGACAAGGAAATATCCCATGGGCATGGGTCTAGATTGACTATACTGCTCACCACATCTAGTAGCCCTCTGGGGCCTGCATGGTGGAACTAGCACCAGTCTGAAAACTGGTGGGATCCCAGAACTGTAGAACATAATCTGCAAATTTTGAAAATGTCATCTGCAAATTCCACAGTGAGTAGACATTAGTAGATATTTACTTTGAACAAAACCTGTATGGATTCTTTGCATTCAACATCATTTCAATTCAAGAATGATTACAGAAACTCGCACTCTTGCACTGAGCATTTCGAGGCAACTAAACTAAAAAAAAAAAAAGCAACCAATTGGAGCAGAGCAACAGCTTCTATTCTAGGTTTGTTAGACCAGCAAAGGAGTTTGTTTCTACCAGCTCTTTGTACCTTATCACTAAACTGTAGTAATGGCCAATGAAGCATCTAGTAGAAGCAACATATCACTTGAAAATGTGTAATACGTATGTTTACAACTTCTTAACAATGTAAGATCTTACCCATGACAAAAACACATATGAGAGAGAGAACGTGACAAAACTGAATTTTTTATTTAGGTTTAAGCAAAAATTACAAAGACAGGCTATTTTCTTCTCAGACTGGCAAACTTTTTCTGTAAGTGCCAGATAAGTCAATACAGGGTGGGGCAAACAGGTTTAGTTGTGAGTACACAAAATACAAGGGTTTATTCTTGTACTGTTAATTATTGTATTATTTTCCATACAAACAACTGTAAATCCACTTTTGCCCCACCCTGTATTTTAGGCTTGTGAGCATGCAGTCTATGTTGCAAGCAAATTTAGAAAAGTAATTCTGAGAGTTTTCAGCTAATCGGGGGTATCTTCTAAAATAATAAAGAGAAAAAATAATCACACTCTCAAAATTTCAAATCAAACATTTTTATTGAAATTATTTCTAACACAATTGGCAGCAGTACTAACATATAACTACTAGTAATAATAAAATAGCTAACATTTATATAGGACTCAGACCTTAAGATTAAATTGCTAAAACAGATAGCATTTTTAGCAAATAAGCATATCTACCATATTTTTAATATAATTCCTTAAAGAGCCATTACTCGATCAAATTAGGAAATGTACAATATGAAGTGGAGTTTCAATTTCTAAGAGAAAGAACTGAGCAGCAAGAGGGAGAGAGGGAGTAACAATTAGGAAGAGGAAGACATGGTGAAAATATATCTCTTTCTAATAGATGACTTTAAGAGCTGTTTTCTGGGAAAATCATATCCTATTGTCATCAATAATGGAACAATAAAGATGGAAAGCATTAGCTAAAAACAAAACAAGGGGAATCATAGCGTGAGGGAGGCCAGTCCTAAAATAAGATTACCAAAAATATATTAGATGACATCTTTGAGTTTGAAAAGTGGCCATCCTGATTATACTGTGAAATGAAAAACAATTATTGTACCATTCTGTCTATCCACTGACAGCATGATGAAGTTTCCAAAGAAACAACATCCTGTTCATCTAACATCCCACCTTTTTAAAAGAGCAGTCAATAAATTGTCAATAATATTTGTTTGAAGAGAGAATTTACTGGGAATAAAGGGGTAAAACAGAAATCTGCCTTCAACATAGTTTACCAGGGAAGATGAGACGAATATAGATTAAATTAAAAGATATATATATACTATTTCTTCCTTTTTCAGAGAATATCTACAACTAAAACAAATGGAACAATTGAAGAGAGCAATGATTTTCAATCATGGCACACAAAAACTAATTACTAAATTTCTGTGTCACACCAAAAAATGTATTATATTTTTTGCCTATCTGACAAAAAATAGGTATAATTTTGATTCATTCACACTTGATCATATTGTTGTACTGGCTGTTGTGATTTTTTTATTTGACAATCAAAGGGAAAAGAGGTTAGTGCCCCTGACTAAATAGTTAGGTATTGCATGTTTTAAAAATTCTTGCAGCACACTGGTTGAAAATCCCTCAGGTTGAAAATTTCTAGAACAGAGATATGCAAGTGAACTGTTCCTGGAGATAACTCCTATACACAGTACAATAAAATATTCCTAATCTTTGTAAGTGTCTCTTTACCTGGTAAATGTAAGTTATCCCCAGGGAAGACAGTGAAGACACACGAATATTAAAAACAGTGTTTCCAGATTTTAGGGAAGCCGTATTTCAGTGCAAATTACTCTATAGCACCCCCAACCCCAATAATGCCTTTAGAGGAATGGTACTAGAGAGTGATTTTGTTGATTGTGGAGATATTTCTTTCCCCAGACATTTTTAAAAAGTTCTGAGTTATAATTTACATCCTATACAATTCACTCACTGTAATTCTACACAATTCATGATTTTAGTATTATTTACAGAGTTGTATAGCTATCATCACAGTTAAAGATTTTTAAATGTTCTGCAAATCACTGAAAAACTGTCTTCTCATTTCAACCCTAGCAATAATTAAATTTTTGAATTTCTTTCTTTTCTTTTTTCCCCCAAGAAATTATTTCCAGAGGAAAATACAGAGCTGACAGGGTATATACTCACTGAATTGACTCAAAAGTATTTAAAAAGTTTCTTTTTGAGAAAGTAACTTTTCATAACCATTGACAGTGTTGAAAATAAAGCAGCTTCTGAGAACTAAAAACTGGTAAAATCCATACTTAATAAATTCATTAATTGTGGCAGCAATCCATAAAGCTGCCTGTGATTGTGTAACTGATGAGTTTAAAAACACTTTAAACCCCTAATTAAGATATGGATGTAATCTCTGGAGGCAAAACTGCCAACCAGCAGAAATCTTATCAATTGTCTCAGCAGGCTGTTTAGAGAAAGTCTGTGTGAAGATTAGGCTACAGAAAGAGATTATTGCATTAGTTATTGCCAGCCGGGTGGGCATGGCTCATTAGGTGAGCATTGACTTAAGAACCAGGAGGTTACGGTTTCTGGTCCCAGTCCCAGTCCCAGTCGTAGGGTCAATCCCCAATGTGGGGCGTGGAGGAGGCAGCCGATCAATGATTCTCTCTCATCATTGATGTTTCTATCTCTTTCCCTCTCCCTTCCTCTCTGAAATCAGTAACAAAAAATATATATAAATATATATGTATGTATATTATTATTATTTTAAAGAAAGAGAATTGCCAATCTTACCCAGCTCTGTCCAGGAACAGACACAAAATCCAGGGGCTATGAGTTTTCCTGTCATTGAGGAGGTCTATATACTCCATTGTTTATCAGGTCTCACATGATCTGAATGAAGTATCTCTCAAAATGGCTCACCTCATTTTGTTTTAATTTCTCATTTACCAAGCAATTGCCTGTTGTGCTTTCCAGACCTGCCAAGAACATTTACCTTGGCATGTACAATTTGAGCATCCTGGTTATTAAAAATGAATGTGCCCTACCACCAACAAATGAACAAATAGTTTGGTTTATTTGCTTTCTTGTGGACTAAAATCTATTAATCAACTCTGGTACATGGATAGTATTAACTGTAACAATCACTGAGCTAACGCCATCCTGGGAGATCTTGATAAAGAGCCATCCAGATTTTTCCTGCTACATCCTGATCTGACCACGGACCCCAAACACAGGTTCTATTCAAATACAAAGGAAGCTGATAGAAAAACAAGAATGTCCTATTCACTCTGTATTAAAGTCTACCTTGTATTCCCCTGAACTGAACAAAATCAGAAATTATTGCATTAATTCAAACAGACAAGAATAAATCAAAGCAAATTCAATTTTCTTATTTTTCTGGAATGAAAGTGTACTGAAATTAAACAGCACTCTGACTTAACATTAATCAACAGAAGATGAACCTGAATAAATCTAAATTGATGGATGAATATTTGAACAGAAAGAAAATATGCTCAGTAAATAACTATTGAATGAAAATAATACCTGCAATGTAAAAAAAAATTCTCATCTCTTCTGCTACTAACCGAATAGGACAGCACTAGAAACTGAATAAATTTGTTAAAATTGTGTCCTTTTTGGTCAGCTTCTCATTTAAAAAATTATCAGGTTCTTGTCTTTTTAATTAAAAGCTCAGTTTCAAAAAGTACCATTGAAGGATAATCTCTAAAATTTTCAGAGGTTATTTCCCCTTTTGGGATCTACAGGCCCTTTTAAGAATCTGATTAAAATTTCAAATCCTCTTTACAGAAGAAAGTACACGCACATATACACATAATTTTGGAAACCATCATAGAGGGTACAAGGACTACCAAACATTTGTAAAATGCAATCAACTTTTAAAACTAATAATGCCCTTCTTCTAAACCATCTATTTTTTTCTATCTCAAAGGCACTTTGGATTTTGAATATTCTTGTGTTCCCTTATTTGTGTGTGCGTGTGTTGTCTTCTTTACTGTGACTTCTGGGATGACCAGAATCAAATCTGCAATCCATCTCTAGGAACTTACCGGGCTATTACTGCGGATATTTTGTGTACTAACTTTATCCATGACCCTTATCTTAACGCTCCTTATTTTCCCATTCCCCTGGATTTCTTCAGTTTCAATCATGTCTTATGGTATCTCTGCAAACTGCCTCATATCCCTGGGGCAGGAAGACAGTCACCCCTTGACTCTTGATCGAATCCAGTGTAGCGCCACTCCTGCACTCGGCGCACTCTCCGAGGATGCCCGGGTTTCCGGAACAGCCGACGCGTCCCTTGGACTCCGCCCCCGGGAGTCTTTCCCGCCAAAGGCCGTTACCGCCGCAGAGCATGGTGGGACAGGCTCTAGGGTAGGTTTCACCAATTGTTTTCAAGGCGCCTAGTTGCTCTAAAAGGCTTTTTCCTGAGTAAATTATCTCTTAAGACTCGACAGGGGTTAATAATCCTTTAACGAAGGCTCTGTATTTTTTTTTATCAAAAGGTAGCCACTCCCTAATCAAACTACTGGCAAATCGGAAACGCAGGGAACTTTTTTCCCTTCGCGCGGAGGGTGACGTCGCGCGTACGTGAGCGTACTTTCGCAGGCCCGTTACGCCCTTGCGCGTGCGCACTGAAGTCAAATAGCTGCTTCCTCCCGCTGCTCTTCTTCCCTCCCCCCATATCCGTGCGCCGAGTAGATAAAGGCGCCATTTTGGAGGGGCCGCGGGAGCCGAGGTGTCGCTGCAGGTTCGCTCTCCCGTGCGCTAGGCTTGGTGGGAAGGCCTGTTCTCGAGTCCGCGCTTTTCGTCGTCGCCATGTCCGGAGGTGGTGTGATTCGTGGCCCGGCAGGGAACAACGATTGCCGCATCTACGTGGGTAACTTACCTCCAGACATTCGAACCAAGGACATTGAGGACGTGTTCTACAAATACGGCGCTATCCGCGACATCGATCTCAAGAATCGCCGCGGAGGACCACCCTTCGCCTTCGTTGAGTTCGAGGACCCGCGGTGAGGCGACCTGGGGCTTGCGGCCTTGAGGAAATCGGTTGGAGTAGTTGGGGAAAGCTCCAAGGCCTTAATATTAGAGAGTGGGAGACGGGCTCCGAGGTAGGGGGCGAGACGCTATCGCCCATGCGGGAGTCGAGTAAGGAGCCGAGTTGGCTTGCCCTTTCTGGTGGCCGGGCCCCCGTGGAGGTTCCCGGAGCCGGCTCAGGCCCGGAGCGGGAAACTGGGGTTGAGGGCTGGTGTGGTGTCGGGGTCCGGAGCGCGGCGTGTTTCTGAGTGGGGGAGGGGCCATCCCTATTATGCGGCGCATGTGAGCGCTTCCACCCCCGGTGCGCATGTGCGGGGGGCCGCTAGGGCCCGGCTGAGTTCGCAGCCCCTGCGGGTCCCTTTTTCTGAGCCCTCTTGCGCTCTGTGATCACGCAGAGACGCGGAAGACGCGGTGTATGGTCGCGACGGCTACGATTACGATGGATACCGTCTGCGGGTCGAGTTTCCTCGAAGCGGCCGCGGTACCGGCCGAGGCGGCGGCGGGGGTGGAGGTGGCGGAGCACCCCGAGGCCGCTATGGCCCCCCATCCAGGCGATCTGAGAACAGAGTGGTTGTCTCTGGTGAGTTTACTGTTAAATATGGGTTGATGAGAAGGGACAGAAACTACTTTTAAGTTTTCCCCGCGTGACTAGTTTAACAAATGCAAGTCTTTATGCTAGGTCTTAAATTACTTTAGTTTCTTGTTTAGAAACTAAGCTAAGATGATTGTAATGGAGGTTTGTCGAATTAGATGGCGGTACCTAGAATATGAAGATCCTTACTTTACAAATAATTTTGGGCTCCGGTCTCTAGAATCTTAGCTCTTTACCCATGATCTTAAATGTAATCATTAATTATAAAGTAGTCTTTGTTCTAATGTAAATTTTAAATTTAGGGTAGTTGGTGTTGAAAAAAAGTCACTTTTTCAGGACTGCCTCCAAGTGGAAGCTGGCAGGATTTGAAGGATCACATGCGTGAAGCAGGTGATGTATGTTATGCTGATGTTTACCGAGATGGCACTGGTGTCGTGGAGTTTGTACGGAAAGAAGATATGACCTATGCAGTTCGAAAACTGGATAACACTAAGTTTAGATCTCATGAGGTAGGTTATACACTTATTTTTTTCTTTGGCCAGAATTGGATACAGTGGTCTTAACAGTGGATTTTTTCAGGTAAGATTCAGGCAAGGGTGCCCAAGTAAAGTGCCAGATTTCTGGTTTTAGCTACATTGTACTCATTCAGCATGCCTGAACACAGGTAAAAGCTTAGATCTTTCAATCGAAAGTTCTGTCTATTCAATAGGGAGAAACTGCCTACATCCGGGTTAAAGTTGATGGGCCCAGAAGTCCAAGTTATGGAAGATCTCGATCTCGAAGCCGTAGTCGTAGCAGAAGCCGTAGCAGAAGCAACAGCAGGAGTCGCAGTTACTCCCCAAGGAGAAGCAGAGGATCACCACGCTATTCTCCCCGTCATAGCAGATCTCGCTCTCGTACATAAGATAATTGGTGACACTTTTTGTAGAACCCATGTTGTATACAGTTTTCCTTTACTCAGTACAATCTTTTCATTTTTTTAATTCAAACTGTTTTGTTCAGAATGGGCTAAAGTGTTGCATTCTTGTGTAATATCCCCTTGCTCCTAACATCTACATTCCCCTCATGTCTGGTAAATTGTATTTTAAGTGATGTCGTAGACAGGATTGTTTAAATTTAGTTAATTCTCCATTCTCTTCAGACTGTGATATTGTGCAAATGTCTATTCTCTGGTTTGTGTGAACGGGGATGTTGGGGGTGTTTGTGGTTATCTTACCTGGGGAAGTTCTTATGTTTATCTTGCTTTTCATGTGTCTTTCTGTAGACATATCTGAAGAGATGGATTAAGAATGCTTTGGATTAAGGATTGTGGAGCACATTTCAATCATTTTAGGATTGTCAAAAGGAGGATTGAGGAGGATCAGATCAATAATGGAGGCAATGGTATGACTCCAAGTGCTATTGTCACAGATGAAATTGGCAGTATTGACCTTATACTAAAAGGCAAGCATTAAAAATGATATATATGCATCTACCTTAAAACACTTGCAAACATCTTATGCAGTTATCTTTGCCTACAATTGCTCGGCTCTTTAAACCTTGGCAATTGTGGAAAAATTATATTGCCCATTTGTAACGGTTTATTTTGCTCCCTTCCCCCCTTTTTTGTATTAATAGGGACTAATGTGGGAAGAACTGCTAATTTGTCACAGTGCTTAGTTACAACTGTTAATGTGTGACCTGCTGTTGGTGTACATGTGGGTACAGGGTGTCTTTAATTCCAACCAGATAGAGTATAATATCAATACTGCTAAATCTGCATGTCCTCTGTGTGACTGATATAGCGTTGCTATTTCATTTTTTTAAGACAAAATTAAAGCAAATTATAGAATTCCAACATATTGGTGTAGATAATCTAGTTGGGAATATACTTTTAAGTATCATCTTCCCCTTTAAACTAATATTCATAATTGACTC